TTTTTTGCTACTTTGGCTTTTAGCTAATGCTCTGCTTCCTTTAGGTAGATCAGCTAAAAGAAGCGAAATGCTAGCTAAAAGTACCACAATATTAACCGAAAGAAGCAGAACACGAGTTAAAGCCCAAAGTAGGAAAATGCTAACGTAGCAGAATGGTAGTTAAGTAGAAAAGAACTAACAAAAAGTAGCTAAAAGGTAAGAGTAGCTAAACACGAGTTAAAACATGTACAACACCAAGTAAAAACAAAAGTATCAAAAGTCTAGTTTAAATTACCAGAACAATAATTAAAAGGAAAAAAAATACTTACCAGACGTAGCAAAACAGCTAAAAGCAGAAAGAAGCAGAACACCAGCTAAATGCTAAAAGTAGCTAAACTTGACCCAGAAGTGTCTCAAGACGACTAAAAATAGAAGAGATATGCATTTATAAAGTTAAATATTTTGAAAATATAACGTTAACGAGCTGAACGTTTTGATTTATGAACAGCTAAAATAGCTAAAAGTCTGCTGAAGTAATAGTGAAAATGAGTCAGACGTGAAGTGGTTTGTCCTGGAAAGAAGCGAGCCGAGGCTCAGTGTGACGGAGGATACATTTCGGCTACTAACAGCTTGTCCTGTGCTCTAACGCCAGTGTGGTGCTGCTGGGCCTCGCCGCTCACCCGACAGGTAAGACCGATCCTTCAGCTTGTAATCACACAGCTAAAATCACAGGGTCATACCTCGTTCTCTTCCCTGCAGGTGACCTCACCGGTGCCTTAGAGTTCCCGTCTCTTCAGTCCCGCGCTTTTCACTGCGGCTGCTGCGCCAGGTGAAACATACCCAGCAGGGAATCGAACCGTGCACCTCCTGTTTTTAATGTAACCGTTTCTAGATCCGAGCTGAAACGTGGCTGTTGTTTCCTCCTGCAGCGCTCTGCTGGGGTTTTTCTTACTCTTGGCCACGGTCAGACTAAAACGCGGGCCGTCCGTCGAACTCTTCAGGGTCTGGGTGTTTTTGTCCAAGGTAAACAAACACACCGGAGACAACGGCCCTGGGTTTGGATTAAAAAGTTAATTTTCTTCCCGTCGTCTCCCAGGTCATTGCCATGGCCCTCTCCCCTTTCATCTTCAACATGGACGGTAACGCCACGTCGCTGTTCTGGTGAGGATTTTATCATTTTTATAACATTCGAGTTTCTAGTTTACCCGTTCGTAACTCAGTTTGTTTGTTTGTTTACAACAGTGTGGTCATCAGCCACGTGGGCGAAGCTCTGCTGATATATTCAGAGAAAGACTCACAACACTGACGAGAAAACGTCCGATGTGTTAAACAAGTTTGCCTTTTTCACGTTTTTTTACTTCTCCGTACTCCGACAATCTGCTGCAGAATAAAAAAAACCTGCTTATTTATCGACGGCTGCTCTGTCTCGTTTGTGTTACAGTTTAGCTGCAAGAAAAAGCTGAAGGTAATCTGAAAATAGACTGAACAAGAGAAATTACATTTACTGTGAAAATGCAGTGTGAAGGTTTATAGCAGAAGAACTTGCTGAAATTAGCTAAAAAAAACATGCTGAAATGGAAGAACAAGCCTAAATTAACAGATGAAAGCAGAGGGAGCACATATTGCTGAATTAGGTTTAAAAAAGCAGAAATGAGCACAGAAATTAGGAAGTTAGCAAAAAAGAAAAGAAAAAAAGGCTAAAAAAAGCACAAAAAAAAATTGAAAGTAGCTGCAAAGGCAGAAAGAAGCATAAACTACCAGAAGTAAGCGGAAAGAGCTGAAATAAGCTAAACAATGTGGAACTAGCTGAAAATGATAAAATAAGCATCAAAAGAACTAAATAGTAGCTGAAATATCATAGCAGAAAAAGCTGAGCACAAGCTGAAAATAGCAGAAATTAACATGAAAAACTTGAATATATCTGCAAACAGCTGAAATTGGCTAAAAATGTGAAAAAGCTAGCTGAAAATTTAGAACGAGCTTAAATTAGCAGAAGCGAGCAGAAAGAACACGTTTGCCCGATTAGGTTGAAAGAAGCAGAAATTAACACCAAAAAGTGTGAATGATCTGAAAAAGGCTGAAATTTGCAACAACAAAAACAGCTGAAAAGTAGCTTAAACAGCAGAAAGAAGCTTAAATTACCAGAAGGAAGTGGAGAGAGCACATTTTTGTTGAATTCGATTGAAAAAAAGGTGAAATTAGCTGAAATTTGCATAAAACAGCTAAATGTCTGAAAAACTGAAATAAGCTGAAAGGAGCACAACAGGATGAAAGTAGCACAAAAAACTTAAATTTATCAGAAAACAGCTGAAACAAGC